GCATCACTGCCGATTCCCTGCCACCCATCCCTCCTCTGCGCGTACCAGGGAAAATACCCCTGAGAGTACTCGCATTCCCGATGAACAGCGAGGATATCGTCCGCTGGGTCGACTTCCACAAGCTCGGCCGCGAGGGACTGGGGGATCACATGAAGTATCACGTCTTTTATAAAAACACTGCCAAGTACCTGCCGCGCCATTGCCTAAATGCCACTGTGAATATCGGCAAGGGGCGCGGTGAGCGGTGGGCGATCGCGGTCGCGACGAATAATTCCCAAGAGAGTCTGGATATGGCACGGGATGCGGAGATGATTGAGAAGGTTCGGGTGGAGCTACAGCTCACGGAAACACCGCGATGGTTTAGGCCGGCTTCCAGCTGACTCGCAATTCGTCCTACGGGTTGTCGGTTACTCCACTACTATGATTAAAACTGCTTTTGAACGTTTTATGTGAGCTCAATATTGATCTGGTGTATATATACAGCATCCAGTCGCCCCTAATTAAGTGTATTCAACCGAACTGACACCTTCCATTCAAGTTGTGCCACACATGTACAGAGGCCGCGTGAGGCGCAAATGATGTCCACGTGTGGCGCGTTGATCAGGGCGATCAAGTGATTTTGAATTCTGACTCTGAGTCTTCCCACCATCATGTATGTATGTATCCGTCAACCTACCAAAATACACGCTGAATATCAACCATATGTTCCAAATCTAGGGCCGCAAGCGATGACAACGAACGCCGCATCACCACTCAGTCCCTCCCTCCGTCCCCCCCTCTGCGTGTGCCAGGAAAATTCCCCTTGAGAGTCCTCGCGTTCCCCATGAACAACGAGGACATTGTCCGTTGGGTCGACTTCCACAAGCTCGGCCGCGAGGGGCTGGGAAACCACATGAAGTTCCACGTTTTCTACAAGAATGCTGGCAAGTACCTGCCGCGTCACTGCGCTAGAGTCACCGTAAACATTGGGAACAGGCGCGGTGAGCGGTGGGCGGTCGTCGTCGCTACGAATAATTCACAAGAGAGCCTTGACATGGCACAGGATGTGGAGATGATTGAGGGGGTGCGGGTGGAGTTGCAGCTCACGGAGCCACCACGGTGGTTCAGGCCGACTAAGTAGTTTCAACCGCACAGGTCAAGGCTCCTGACAATCACTTCGCCATCGGGACACCGGGTGGCTTTAAAATTTTAAGTCTAGATTGTCGGATTCTGGCTTTGATTGATCCTCGTATTCCTGGTCCACGTATGTACCAATATTGGCCCCGCCAAAACACATGCCGAACATCACTTTCAACTTCCAACCTATGTAAGAATAAGAGCGCGCGACGGCGAACATTGCGTTCTCCTTCGCTCCCCTCCTTTGCGCAAGTCAGGGAAAATATCTTTGAGGGTCCTTGCATTCCCCACGAGGAGGGCATCGTCTGCTGGTCAACTTCCACAGGCTCGGGCGCGAGGAGCGCATAAAGTCTCGCGTCTTTTACAATTTACAAAAATGCAGGCAGGTACCCTGCCGCACCACTATCGTCTCATCATGCCCATCCGGAGCAGGCGTGCGGTCATGGTTGCTATGAATGATTCGCAAGAGAGCCATAGTCTTGCGCGGGATGATAATTTTGGTAAGACGCGCATTCAATGGCTGGGATAGAGTATGGAAGAGGGTTCAATATTACGATCTGCAGCCTGCTATGTAGGCTAGGTGGAGGCTGGAATAGGAAGTACCGAAACCAAGTACGTAGGTATGTATGCTATATGTATGGTGTATGTATGATGTATATTATTATATATAGGTGTCCGTTATCACGACCGAAAAAGGGAAAAAAGAAAAAGCCACCGCATCCCTTCAGGCCGCCGCGGTGCGCGTCGACCTCCGCGCAGTCCACATACTCGCCGCCCAGCCCCATATCGCGCGCCCCAAACTCTCCCTCCCTATATCCTCCTGATCTTCTTGCGCTTCCGCAACCAGGTTCGGGATAGTATCCGCGCTCCATGCGCTCCCCAGGCAAATGCGGTCCACCTCTATCGCTGGGATACCCCACGCCTCGTCCTGCAAGCGCCAAATATGCGCACGCATCCGCGTGATCACATTCTCGTGTGGCAATTCCACCCCAAGTACGATTGGGCGTGGTGCTTGGCCGGCCGCTTCCGATTCCAGCTGCCCGGGCTCGCCCGTCACCGGTGTAGTAGCGGGGGGTGCCGTGCGCTTGATGCGCGGGGCTCTGACCAGGGGAGCGCGCGGGGCCTTGGGACAGCGGATCTTGGTGGTTGAAGGTGTAGGCTCAGGGATAAGTGCCGCAGACCGCTTGTGACGCGTGTCGCGAAGAACTGGGCCGCTCGAGAGGGGCGCGGGGGTAAAATTGAAGATCCCTAGGCCCTGGCTCGGGGATGGTACAGCAGCAGAACGAGAAGCGACCCGAAGTCGAAGCCCAGCAGATACAGTAGCGGGACAGAAGGCAGGAGTGGGGGGCGCACATGTAGAAGCAGGAGATAATCCAACATGATCAGGTCCGCTCAGCGCGTCAGAGAACTCACGTCCAGGAATAGGAGAAGGAGAGAGACTCGAAGCCGTTGTGGGAGTTGTGCTCCGGGACACCGCGGTGAAGAGGGAGCTGCGCGGACTGGATCCCACACTCGACGGGGCCGGGGAAGATGCCGCGATTGGAGACAGTCGCTCACTGGAAGAGACACACCGGGACTGCGCCTCCAGAGTTCGCCGCGCAACGATCTTCGGTAGGATCAAGGGCTTAAGCGCGCTCTTCCTTGAGCGGGCGCAGGAGATGGGGAAGGTCCGCAGGCAGGAAGGTCAGCCGAGGTAGAGACCAAGTCCGGTGTGACAGTGGCAGTAGCAGGAGTGGCAGAGAATCGGCCAAACAGTCGTCCCATCATCATGGTAAATTTTTGGGGGCGGAGGCAGGAGCAGGAGCAGGAGCAGGAGCAGAGGTGGGAGCAGGAGTGGAGCCAGGAGACGAAGCGTCCAGCTTAACAGATCCAGCGAGGGAGACGCGATCCGCGAGGAATTGAACTCAGGGTGTGGGTCTTGGAGAACGGGTACGTCGCCCCAGCCATCAGCAGAGAGATGTCCTGGGATCCTTCGGGATCGGAGACACACGGGGCCTCCAAGGCACCAGGTAGGTCTTCGATGCCATCTTGAACCAATCACTGACCCGTTGGGATTAGCCACGCAAGTACTTGTACATGGATGGAAGACTCACATCTCTTCGAAATACTTGTGGGTCTTGATTTGAGCCATCGTGAGCCTGTCCCGGACATCCTTCGCGAGGAGCCCGCTCAAGAATTCGATGGTGGTAGCGTCGATCTCTTTGTTCTGGGGGAACACCAGAGGAGCATGCATCACATCGTGCCCTATCTCCTCCACGCAAGAGGAATCATTCCCGAATGGGAGCTAGTCGTGTGTCAGGATCCGCATCCAATGTCCAAATGAGCAGCCATACCTTTCCCGTGAGCATCCGGTAGAGGACCACGCCCACCCCCCAGATGTCCGCATCGTAGGAATACTCGATCCCCTGGTGCTGCTGAGGGGACATTGCATGCGGCGTGCCTGCTATTCCGCACATCGTCGGTGCCGTCGCGGGGGGCCTGAGGAATGTGCCTGCATTGCAGCTCGGATCGACAACGAAGTCCAGGAAGCTGGTGTCGGCGGTGAGCGACCCGACTCCGGGTTCCTCGAATATATTAGAGACTCCGTAGCCGCCGAGGGTGATGTATCCCATGGCGTCGATGAGAATATTGTTGAGCGTGATGTCGCGGTGGACGATGTTCAGCCTGTGTAAGTTCTCGAGCGCGAGAACCTGTAGTTTGTCCAGTATGGATTCGGGGAGAATGGAGAGAGACTCACAAGCTGTGCAGCGCAGAAACGCGCACGAACAGCCTTGAAGGTCCCACAGCTGCCGACCTCGGCCGCGAAGTCACCACCACGAATATAGTCCTACCGGAATGTCAGCCTCCGAATGACCATGCAGGAAAAGTACCCACCGTGGTGATATAGAAATTGCGTTCGTCGTGCCAGCTCGCAACCAGTGGCAGGAGGAAGTTCCCTGTCTTCGCGATCACCGCGTGGACCGCCTGCTGCTTGAGGGTGCGCTGGACCTCCGCGTCGGAGAGGCCCGCCTTTGAGACGACCTTGAGTGCGTAGAGCTTCGCCGACTCCTTGTGCCTGACGAGATAGGTCTTGCTGATTCGCCCGGCGCCGATCTCCTTGAGAATATCGAGATCGTGGGGGCTCATGCATGGCTTGGGTGTGGGCTCTTGAGGCCCTTGGTAGGACTCGCAGGAGTAGATGGACGCGTCAGAGTCGAGGGACGACATGACTGTCCCTGCTCGCCTGTGTCAGCCGCGGACAGGATAACAGCAGTAGATGGACGCACATTGTTGGCTTCGGTAATGAGTGTGTTGGTGTTGTTGAAGAGCATGATGAACGATGGTAATATAGCTTTGAGCTTGGAGGTAGAATATAGCAAGAGATGATAGTGCAATAACAAGATTCGACCGGGGGAGGAGCATGGGGCAGGACGGTTTAAGTATCATGTCGAGGTGGCTGACTGCACCAGTTTGGACGATCGAGGAGGTCGACAGGGGGCGGCATCCTCCGGGCCGATTCCGCTCGACTGCAGAAATTTAAAGCTAGCGCTACTTGAGCTTGAACGCTGGGGGTGTGGCAACAGGCTGGACCACATCGGATACGCAGGCCAAGCTAGCGTCAATGCATTATTTGCTTTAGCATCCTGAACAAGCCTGTGTAAGTGTATACAATGGTGATGCTGAACCAGGCATACAACCGCGGCGCGCACACGCTATATAACAGATACCTCAGATTCAATTGACCCACCTCCCGATGCCCAACGCGGGCCTGCATGTGCTACATACACTTTGGTATCACTGGGCCCTCTTTGAGGTTAATTATGATATTCCACACAATCGTAAAAGCGGCTTGAAGTTAAACCCAAGCCAACATACCGCAATAATCAATAACACAGCAAAAAGTACTGCTCCAGAGAGGCTCGAACTCTCGACCTTCCGATGACACCTCCACAGGTGGTTGACGATGTAACAGTCGGACGCTGTAACCAACTCAGCCATGGAGCACATGTTTAGCATATGTGGATCTGGCACTGTATCCCGCGCTGTAGGTTCTTCCCAATATTCTATTCCATGGTCAATTTCTATTTATCTGCTCGTGTTATCTGCGGCCAACGCGATCGCCCTCTACCATTTCCATTGGTTCGTCTCCATCGGTTGCGACTGCTTCCCAGCCATCGGATGATGATGGACGTCCCCTGATTCGAGAGAACGCCGAGGTGACATAAGCTATAGGGAATGAGTATTCGGAGGGACGTAACATGATAACAGGATAAAGAGCTAACCGAAGAACGCAGGCATATCTTCAGATGATGCATGCGTAAAATAATACACTGGGATGCCAGCAAGCACAAAACCTGCGGATAAGGTATCAGAAGGTGTCGGAACCAAAAAGCATTTACCAACCTAGAACCGCGATAGCCTCTAACGGCGCGGCGATTATCGGCATGCAGAGCAAGAAAAGGGCGACCTATAATAGGAATGAATGCCCAAGGGGTGGGCGAAAAGTTTCTAAAACGTACGCCGCAGAAAATTAGTGGTGTAATTATCCACGTCTTGTATGGTCTAAATCATGATACTATTACGATACGGCTTAGTTTGGGAGTGGTGGTTCCACACACCTATTTAACAACGGTTCTTTCACGCGAAGAATCACCAGGCCTAGGACCTAGCCCAAGATCAGAGATATTGAACCAGGATGCGATCTTGGAACCTACGGTGAGAAAATAAAATGACCAGGACGCTACAACAGAAAAGTTGATAAGGGATCTAAACCCGCCACCAATCAGAATGAAGGCGCTGGTAATCGCAGCTTGTAAGAGCGTGGCATTCAAAGGTGTTTGTCGGGTAGGGTGGAGCCGGCCAAAAAGAGCAGGTAGGAAATGTTCTCGACCGGCGGCGTAGATAAGCCGCGAGGTGGTGTAGACAGATCCTGTCACCGAGTAAGAATTAAGCGGACAAATCATGAGACTACCAACCATTGAGGGCTCCAAAACACGAGAAGGCCACCATGAAGGCAAATAGCGTCCCGCCGATTGGCCCAAATAGGGCCCGTCCGAAGTCCATCGCGACTGTATTGCTTAAACCGACAGTAACCTTTATTGGCCCCAGTTAAAACAAACTTTCACAGCATTTTCCATCAAATTACCTGATCAAGTACCACGAAGTAAGATATATTTGCTAACAGGAATAGTAACTGAAAGGCATGTCAGATAAGCACTCGGATGAAGTAGTAGCACGAACGGTAACAATAGCCATGCTGGAATGAATGACTCTGGGAATGTTTTTCTCCGGATGGCGCATTTCCCCCCCTACATAATTTGCCTGATCCCAACCATCGAATGCCCATAAACCAGAGTAGAGCGCCAAGGAATATGATGAAGGGCTTGTACTTGAATGTTCAAATAAGGGTCGTCTAAACGATGTGGTTGATTTTCCACGTATGAGCTGGATGAGGCCCAAGATTGTGATCAAGATCTTTCGGTGTGGTTGAATCAAAGAATAATGAACTAATAGTTAAATTCTTACAAGTGCGGCAACCTGTGATTCAAAGATTTTAAGCTCAGTCGGAGTGGGACAAACTATTGGCTTACCTTTACTGTCGTAAATACTACAGCGGCACGAGTACCAAGCTTGCGAGCGGCAACGCATAATATCGTCACCACCAAGACTGCGCCAATGGCAGTGAGTTTGATAGCCCACTGGGGAATATCATCTGGCGATACCTCAGCGCGAGTACTATGCCAAAAGATCCGGTTAAGATACTCGGCGAAAATAAGACTTATCACCGCGTTGGCGCCTATCACGAAAGAATAAATCACAATCCCAAAGGCTGGGTGCACTGCGTACCAGGCTTCAGTGCAATGATAGCTGTCCATGCGAAAAGGTAGGATATTAGAGGCCCGTATGCATAGAGAAGATATGCTTGGGCACCCCCATTCTGGGGTATCGCAGAGCCCAGTTCCGCAAAGCTGGATGCGCCGGTCCACGCTAACAGTCCGGAAACCAGCCACACACACAGACTGGCCCCAACGCTATTTGTATTTGCAACAACGACACCGGGAGATGAGCTGAAGGCTTAAATATGAATACAAAGGGCCAGGCGAACGTTGTAGGGCGTGCTCACAAGATTCCCGAGCCAATCTTTTAATGGCGCTATATAAACCTCGTGTTTTATATGGGCTGGGTCAACTCACCTGCAACCCTACAACCAAAGCAATCCCTGCAAAAATGTTACACTTAGTGTAAAGCTTTATTCTCATAAAAGATAATTTGCGCACCATTCACTACCCCAATGCTCTTCTCGTTGGTATCGCCGTGGATAGTTTGTGGATCGGCGACACTCGCTGTGAGTGGAAGCTGGTCGTCACAAGCAATGAAAATAAAGTCAGTCTCTAATTTAATGTGCATACCAAATCATGTTGAAAATCGAATCCCGAGATAGAATATGATCTTCCGCTACTCCAACTCCAATTTGAGACACTTGGGCTGCCCACAAACACGCTAGGCGACGTACCGAACCGGTCTTGAAGAGCCAATGGCAGTGCCTTCAGAGACCTCTAACGCTCGTAGGGAGTCCTCAGAATCTCGTGAATTTCGGGAGTGTGGCGATGGAGGCACAAATATTCCATGGGTCGGGGATTTGAGAGCGACATAGTCTTCTGATGTAAAACTTGGCATGGAAATGGGTATAGATGTGTGGGTATGGATTTTAGGTCGTAATATCGTAGAGGTCAATTGCAGTCTTTGGGATTCAGGTTCAGCGGTGGAGGCAATTGTGCAACCCAGTTACGTTCCATTTCACACGTGCAACCGAACAATTTTTATCTCTGTGCGGCGGGTGGCGATTAAATAACTGCGGGCTGGCAAATGTACTATATAATTCTACACCTGAACCAAGATATACCAAGATTACAGCTTTTATAGCTGCTTATTTTACCTCTGCTTTCTCTAATAATGCCTGGGATACGACGGAATGAATCTCAGCACAGGTGTCATGGCATAAATCCATACACTGAATGGGTGAGTCACCGGTTCAGTGGAAAGTTCAGTAACTCACTTTGAGAGCTTCTTCGGCTTTCATCTGACCAGACTCCCAAACACTGGTGACTGATCCCAGAGCAGGCATGCAGGATAATACAAGAATACCCGCAGATGTCACCGTTTCATCTTCCGTGGGGTCAAGCCAGATATCATTGCCTACAATGGACTTGGTATGGTGATAAGCATGGTTCTCTTCTGAACAATTCAATACTCACTGCAGCACATGACGTGACAAGCCCCAGCATCTCGATACCCGCATCGGCAAGGGCAGTACTGGCAGCAATACAGCCAGAGGCAACACACCCCTCAATCCCATCGGCTTCAATTATGTTCACAAATACGTCTATCGTGGATTTGGGCAATAATTCCAAGCGAACGGCAGGGGCCAATGCCTGATGAATTGCTACCGCGATCGATCTGTCCTCTGCATCCTGCATACTGGGAATGATGAGGCCACTCTATAGATTGGGGGAACAGGGTTCTTACACGCATGGGTGCCCTACGGCGTTTGCACGAGAATGGGGCAAACTTGACTTCTACGTTCAACCTTCCCTTTTCATTGTATCCAGTGTTTTTTGATTGTCGGGGGCCGTATCTACAAGAGCTGTATTGGTCGACTATGCGGGAGACGAGTCAAATGAACGCAGACACGGCGCAAGCAATTTTCGTCTTCTGAGTCTCAATGTACGCGGAGCCGTTAGCCTGATTGATCAGACCTGGCTGCAGAACTGACCGAAATACCGGTTAGATGAGATCTCTGAGATGAGGACAGGTTTAAGCACGCACATATAGGGCGAATTTGTGTGAGATCACGATGTTTTCGACCTGTCTCCTGGCTCTGAAACGGCTCCGGGCCATAATCAGGCGGTGAGCTTTCTTCAGGACCATTGATCCGCCTTCGGTCAAAGGCTGATTGCCAATGAGACATAGTGGCTCTGGTCCAAGGGAATAATTTTAAACTCCGGTACACTGGTAGCCATGAAACTCTCATTTTCGCTCAACAAGGCGAAACAGCCTGCGCCCACCCCATCCCTCAAACGTCCCGTCGTCTTTGGCTCTGGCGAAGACGATGAACCCATAGATGCTGCCCCTACAAATCTCTCAGTCGGAGACAACAGCACCGCGGCGAACAAGAAGCTGCTGGCGCACAATGTGGAGGCTTCCAAAGCGATGCGAAAACGAATGGAGGCTGAGAAAAAGGTTGATGAAACCGTGTACCAATACGATGAGGTTTGGGATAAGATGCAGGAATCAAAACAGCGTCAAAAAGAAGCCAAGGAGATGGATGCAAAGGAGCGCAAGGTGGGTTCACTTCCGTGGTATCTTTGGACTACCATCTCAACATGTTCTAGCCGCAATACATTCATGGACTTCTATCATCCGCCGCAACGCGACGTTTGGACCGTCTACGTGCCGAGGAAAAAATGATGCAACTAGAACGGGAAAGAGAAGGTGATGAGTTTGAAGGCAAGGAAGCATTTGTCACGCAAGCATACAAGGACCAGATGGCCGAGGTTCGTCGTGCTGAGGAAGAGGAAAAGGAAAGGGATGGTAAGTCGGTGCTCCGAAGCTTACCCATTTGTCAAGTTGCTCAACGAGGGTCCTAGCACTGCAGAAGAAGCAAGGTGGCACTGCGTCAGGCATGGCACACTTCTACCGTAAACTCTTGGACGAGTCCGAGCAGAAGCATGAGGCCACCGTGGCAGCTACCCAAAAACCTATTATCGGACCACAAGGGCCTATGCCCAACCTAACGATTACGAGGCCCCCCGAATTTACGCCGATGTCTGACCTGGAGCTTGCGAAAGCCGCACGGGAGCAAGGTAAAGATGTGGAACTGAATGATGATAACCAGATCGTCGATAAGCGCGATCTCCTTGCCGCGGGATTAAATTTATCAGCTCCAAACACTCGGCGGCTTGGTGTACGCCCCCCTCCCGGAACCATATCCAACGCTTCGGATA